TATATATATATAATGTTCAAATATCCGTCGTGGGTATCTGGACATCATGGTTATGTAGTGTAAAGGACTGTCAAATAAGCCCCATTGTCATTATGAAAACATTGCCATCATCTATCCCCCAACATCTGCTTGGAGCCCTTGTCCGATGTCCTATGGCAACTTGTATTTAACTATGATACACACAAATCCTAGGGCTGCAGTTTGATAAGTTTTCTTCACTTCATTATCAGTAACTTCACACCTCCGATTTTACCAGCACTCTCAAGGGTTAAACACACTCATGTTCACATACACAATAAGGTTGTTCCCATGGTAACGTTAGCCTCTACCAGGCTTCGGGAGACGGCTGTAAAGAGTAGATATATCGGTCACACGGAGTAGAAATTGTCGCACTCGGGTGCGGCAAACCAAGGAGGTTAAATACAAGATTTTAACTCCATGGCAAAACGTACTCTCTAGCAGTAGCGGACCAACTCCTTCGACATGTTATCTCTCTCTATTTGACCAATTTCTACTCTTTCCAGCCGCCTCCCGAAGCCTGGTAGAGGCTAATGGTAACGTGTCATGGGGAACACAAGTGAACCCAGTCAGCCGTTTTATGTACGGACAAGTCTAACTCTTGCATCATCTTGCATCATACTCTTCTTTCCAGCCGCCTCCCGAAGCCTGGTAGAGGCTAATAGTAACGTGTCATGGGGAACACAAGTGACCCCAGTTAGCCGGTTAATGTACGGACAAGTCTTGCATCATCAGCGTTTGTGACATGTTACCCCGTGCAGCCGCAGGTGAGACAAAAGATGGAGACACCTGACGCGCCGGGTACCTGGCGGACGTGCGTCGGTAAGAACGACACGACACAAAAGACCCAGGCACTGAAATGATGAGATTGAGCATCCATCAGTTTCACTCCAAAATAACAACTTTTCTTTGGTTTATTTGCCAAACATTACCCATGCAATTGCAGCCTTATAGTGCTGAATTGATGCAGGGTTTACAATCAAATGGTAATGGTACAAATGATACAAATTGTAATAATACACATAATAATACACAAAATACACTTGAAACATATTATTTGTTCCACATTTTTGTGGAACTGCCGCAAGGGTCTGAGCGGCTGCCATTCGGCGCCACAAGGTGACCTCAATACGGCTTTCCCCAACCGAAGTTAGGTACCCATTCACACCTGGGTGGAGTGAGGAAAGTCGTGTAAAGTGCCTTTCCCAAGGGCACAACGTCGGGGCGCATGTCCAGACATGCCCCCGGTACGACTCGGAATCGAACCCGGGTCTCCAGGTTCGCAGTCGGATGATCTACCACTACGCCACCCGACGCCACGGGCGTTTAGAAAACATTCCTAAAGGCCCATGAACTTTGGCACAAATCCGTTCACTGTGGGTGATAGAGAGGGAGATTTTAGAACAATTTCTACTTGAGTTTAACACTGCATCATAGGCTCCGCCCCAGAGGCGCCGCCAAAAACTTACCCTCAAGTGGCACCTTCACGGAACAGTCCATTTTCTTCACCTCACGGGAGTCAACAGTGAATTGTGTTTTATTACTAGCTAATTAACTAGTTTATTATATTACATATGGTATAAGTTACAATAGTATACTAAATAAACTCGTAAATTTCTGTTTTTGCAAAGTTACTATTTTTCGCCTTTTGTCATAAAAACACCCCCATTGTCTAATGAACTGTTCCAAGTTCCAAGATGGCGGAAAGAGGAAGTAAAAAGTTATCGAAAAGTCGGTTCCAGACGTTGAAGGAAGTTTTCTGAGGACATCCATGAAGAAAGTAAGTACAGATCCCGTCTGTCGACTGTTCAGCGTTTCAGGATCCACCAGATATGTGTGATTTGTCGGCAATATCGTGTCGAGAAGAGAGATCAGAACACAAAACTACTGAGTTATGTTTATTTATCTAACGGTACACTTTACTTTGCTCTTTGGACTTGTGGTAAAATTAGGGTGAACAATATTTTAGCCGTGGCGACTATTGATTCGGGCTTACATTGCATTACCCTCAGCAAAAATTGCTGAGGGTAATGCAATGTAAGCCCGAATCAGTAGTCGCCACGGCTAGGTGAACAATCAGTTAAAAACAAAGTTACCCATGAGTTTTTAAATCTAGCAAACTCAAATTCAACTTCAAAGCTATATTTTCTAACAAATTACTGGACGGGACGAAACCAAAAATTTGAAAAAAAAAACCTACTAAATTTGAAAAAAAAAACTACTGTACTAACAGTTTTGGTGCCTGCCCCCCCCCCCAAACCCCC